GGCTAATGTATGCGGAGAGGGGAAACGGGGGGAGAGGGGGGGAGGGGCAGGGAGATGGGAGAGGAGGGGAGAGAAGGTGGAGGGGGAGGGGGAGGGGAGAGGGAGGGAGGGGGGGGACGAGAGCGGAGAGGGAGGGAAGGGGGAGGGAAGAGGGAGCGGGGGAAGGTGTGGCCGTACCGCGAGAGCATCGAGTTGATCTCGGCCTCCTTGGCCTCAACACGGGCCATGACCTCGGCAACGTCGGTCGTCTCCTCGGCCACAAAGTGGTCGTCGATCATGGTCTCCACATCGAGGTTGCGGAAGTCTCCAGTCGCCATTGTGTCTCGTTGGGAAGAAGGAAGATGAGTGGCTCGGCCTCACCGACACGTTGGACTGGAGCCGACCGAGGCCGAAGACGGAGGCGGTGCCGGTGGCGGTGCCGGCTGGCCGGTGGCCGTTTCGGGCAAAGAAGGTTGTGTGGGCATTTGGTGGGCGGACGGCTATTTGAGGCCCCAGGCTGTGATAGCCGCCTGATAGCGGCAAATCATGGAAAAGAAGAAAAAGGGGGGAGATGTTACAGCTCATGGTGGTCGGGGCTGGGGTTAGGGTTGGGGCTACGGCCGGGGATGGCGGCGAGGATCGAGGGGAAGAGGCCGCCAAGAACGTGCTCGGCATGGTTCTCGGCCGATTGGACGACGACGGCGGCGTGGGCAGCGAGATCAGGATAGGCGCTGCCACGGCGGATGACCACAGGCTCTAGCCCTGGTGAGGGTTCGAGGCCGGGTGCGTCGCCGCGGGCGTGCGCATGGAGCAGGGCGCTTTCGGACGGCGGAATGTGGAAGGACCACTCCGAGTCGGCCGCCAGCTCGCGGGCGAGGAACAGCACGTTGGTGACGTCGTCGGCGGGATTCTCGACCGCAATGCGGAGGTCGGGAAAGCCGGCGGCGCGGATCGTCGCCTCGACTGCGCGAGTAAGGGCGACGCCCGACCCAGACGGCGCGCACACCAGATTGACCGCGAGAATCCCGCCCGGTGCGAGCAGCTTGGTGCGGATGTCGGCAAAGGTCTCGACAGAGAGCGTGTCGAGCGCCGCCTTGCCGGTAAAGAGCTTGTGGATGACGACCTGGTATGTTTGGGCGCCGTTTGTGGCCCGCTGAAGGAACTTGGCCAGCGACGTCACGTGGGTCCGGCCGGAATCCGACGTCCGCTTGTAGCCAAAATGGGCGACAGCAGCGTTAACAACCGCCGCATCGCGCTCGAGCACATCGACCGACCACCCGAGGATGGTGCGGGCCCGAGTGGCAACCGAGCCGGCGCCGAGGCCGATGATCAGCGCGCGGGGGACGACAGCGTCCTCCTCGTCGTCAACAACAAAGTCTGGCACAACGACCGCCGCCACCTCCGGCTCGGACACCTCGAGCAGCGGCAGGAGCATGAGATTCATGCCGACAAACGCAATCGACGCCCGGTGCGCAGGGTCTACAAACATTGCTCCCACAAGCGCTGCGTCCATCACCAGCAAGTCTACCTCGAACGACGGTACAGCCTCTTCGCCTTCGGCCGAGTCGGCCACCACCTCACGGTCAGAGGTGTCGACCGCCACCCGCGCCACGGTCACCAGCGCCCCGCGCGGCGAGACATACATGTCCAGCACCGAGTCACCGGCTGCGCCCAGAAGCTGCACGCACACCAGAAGCGCCACTACCACTGCCAGTGTTGTGGGGCGCATGCTGGTGTGTGTACGTGGGGTGCGGTGTGGTGAGCCACAAAGTGAGTCGCGCTGAAAACGAGCCTTCGGCGCCTGTGTGCAACCGCTGTCGCATCAACTCCGCCTACGGGTTCGGTCGGCAACCTGAATGGCGCTCGCCCGCGCTGCACGGGTCGGGCGTCCATCGCCTCGCCCGCGCCCGCGCCCGCCTCCCCGCCCACGTCCGCGCCCACGCCCGCGCCCGCGTCCCCGCCCGCTCCCGCGCCCCCGCAGAGGCTCGCCCGCGCCCTCGCTTCCGTCTGCACCGGTGGTCACCGGCCCACGCTCGGGCTCTTCCTTTCGAGCGATAGAGTCCATACGAGCGAGCATAGCACGAGTCTCATCGTCGAGCTTGGGTTCGAGGGGTGAAGCCGGCGGGTGGCGGCGCAGGGGCGACGGCTGGGGCGACGGCGAGCGCGAGCGCGAGCTGTTGCGTGGGCGCGGGCGGGCAGGCGACAACGCCGTGGCTACAGTGCGACGAGGGGTGCGAACCGCAGCCTGGATGGCTGTGGCATCGGCGTCAATCGAGCGCGACCACGCAACGGGGTCGCGTGCAGCCGACGCTTGCGGGCCGCGCGAACTGCGGGCCTCGGCCGCGGCCAGATCCCGCTTGTACTGGGCAATCAGCGCAGCCTGCATCTCCAGCCTCCGCGCTTGGTCGTCGATGATCTGAGTCTGCTCTGCCAGTTGGGCCTCGAGCTGTAGCTGGACCCGCGCCGGATCGTTCCCCGAGCTCACCCGCGCACGCAGCGTGGCCAGCAGCTCGTCCTTGAGGCCCGAGACCGGACGCTGGGCCGGACCTAGACCGGCGCGGGCCTCGGCCTTGAGCAGCGCCTCGTACTTGTCACACAGTGCTTCGTACGCACCCTTTAGATCCAGAACCAGTGCCTCCAGCTCCTCGGCCCGGGCCTGCGAAGCGGCCAGCGCGTCGGCAGCCTCGCCAGCAGCCACCTCCCACCTGCGGGCCTCGTCCTCCCAAGCCACAGCCTCGGCAGCCGCAGCCTCGGCCTCGGCCCGGGTCACCGCCCGCGCTCGCGCAGCCTCTGGCCCAACATGCCCCGCCGAGCCCCGCCGCTGCCACAGCCGCCCGCGCTGCGCCTTGGCTGCCGCTGCCTCCCGCGCAGCCACCTCTTGCCGAAGCGCCGCGTTCTCCTCAGCCAGCTCGCGGACAACCTGCTGCAGCTTGGTCGCCTGAATCCGCAGCGACGTGTTCTCCGAGCGCAGCGCTGCAGAGAGCCCTGCCATGCCGCTCCTGCTTGCCTCGTGCTTGCTCTGACTCTGCAGACACGTGTGCCTACTCACGCACCAGCCAGCTCGACCGGGGCGAGGGCCCGGCGCGGGCTCTACTTGCCGCTCGACAAAGACCTCTTTTTTTTTCTATCCTCGCTGTTGTCTCCTGAGGTGCTACACGAGTAGAAACAGGCTGGAAGAGCAGCCGCGGACATTGGGGCTTTGTTTCGTGTCACAGCTCTTCTTCGGCTACCACAACAACCCAAAGAGCCCGTCGACAGTGATTGATGGGAAGGAGTATGGTGGCGGGAGGAGAAAAAACCGCCGCGAGGTCTGCCCGAGGTAGACCCGATCCAACCACCGATCTGGGCACTCTACCACCACTCTCCATCGCATCCATGACATGCGGATACACTCACATCACTATTGACACATGCTACTTTTGCCTGATCTCCATGGAACCCCCCCCCCTGCCACTGCCACCCCAACTACGTCTCCATCACCTTTGGCTACCCGCCCATGGTCAACCAGCCCTGCCATTTTTTTTCCTCAGCGGCGACATGAACGAAGCGCCACCCGCGACACGTGAGCGAGCCAACCGCTTCCGTCCTCATTCAGGCGCACAACTGCAAGTGGACGACATTCGACTCGCCCAGGAAGACCGTAGGCGAAGATGGGCGGAGGAAGGCAGGGACGTGGCTTGGAGGGTGGTAGGCGGAAGGCTTCGGGCAAGACGGCTGGCGGGATGGCTGGCGGCCGGAAGTGGTCGGCACGCGCTGTGGCTGTCGCCTATTTTTTCGTGGCGCTGATGGCAAGCCTTACAAGCGGCAGAGTGGCAGAGGCAGCTGGCGATGGAAGTAATGGAGGAGGAGGATGGGGCCGGCTCTCTCCGCGAGTGGTGGGCGGCACGCCTGCGCCGCCTGGAGCGTATCCAGGGCAAGTTGCGCTGACGCCTGGCGATGACTTTGTCAACTGCGGAGGAACGCTCATTCACTCGCTCTGGGTCCTCACCGCCGCGCACTGTCTCTACGACGATCGTGATCATCCGGAGGATATGTGGATCTTTGCTGGCAAGACCAATCGGTCGGAGGTGACGAGCGCCGACATGGTCCAGGGCGACGCCATCTTTCTTCACGCTGGCTACGACGACGACGATCTAACGTACTATGACATTGGTCTGCTCCGCCTCGCGAAGCCGGTGCCAAGTCGGGAAGGCATTGCAGTGGCCCGGCTTGCAGACACGGATCCTCCAGACTACGCTGTGGTCACCATCACCGGATGGGGCGCAGACACGATCAATGCCACCGGCGAGCCCGACAGGTTGCAAGAGGTCCAGACACTGGTCCAGCCAAACGCGCTCTGCCAGGCCAACTACGAAGAAGAGCACGTCGACATCCTCCCATCGCACCTCTGCGCCGGACAAGAGTGCATCTCTGGTCACGATTCGTGCCTTGGCGACTCGGGCGGCCCGCTCTGGGCCCGATCCGAGGACGGTGGCATTGTGCAGGTGGCGCTGACCTCGTTTGGCGGCAACCCCGACGACGACGACTCTCCCTGCGGCCATCCGCGGTTCTGGGCAGTCAACACCCGGGTAACAGCCTACCTTGGCTGGATGGCATCGATCATGAACGGCACGCTCTACACGACGGCCACGCCGTCGGCGGCCGCCACCACCACCGCCGGTGGAGGCAACGCCGCATGTCCATCGCCGCCGCCCTCGCCGCCGCCGTCACCACCGCCGCCGCCCTCGCCGCCGGCTCCGCCACCAACGCATCTCACAGGTGCACTCGCAGGCATCTATGCGCAGCCTCATGTCGTTATCGACGGAACGGCGGCGGTGCTCGCCGACGCGCACGCGGCGTTCCTTGGCACCGTCACCGTTGCATCTGGAGCATCCCTAACTATTGCCGACGGCACACCTGGATCAGCTGTCCTCGCAGTCTCGGGCGCCGCTGGCATGAATCTACAGCAGCGAGCCGAACTGATTCTCCGCGGCGGCAATGCGGTCGAGACGGCTGCATTTCTGCTAGCGTCGACGTCGCAGTTGCAAGTCCGCCTCGACGCATCGCAGGCAGCACCGTCGACCAGCGTCGCTCTGGCTGTCTCAGGCGAGCTGGTGATCAACGGGCATCTGCGGCTGAGTGTTAGCTACACGCCTGCCCCTGGAACCATCTTTCACATCGCGTCCTGCGCCGTCTGCCGCGGCAAGTTCCGAACGGTGGCTCTCGATGCAAGCGACGTGGCCGGCCTGACACCGGTCGTCACGGTCTTGGCTGGCGAGGTCAGCGTCACACTGGTGCCTGCGGCAGCGCCGAGCTCGCCAAGACGGCCGCGACCGGGAAAGAGCACGACCGTGATCGCGGTCGTCTTTGCGGTCGTCATTGTGGTCGCGGCAGTGGCAGCTACCGGCGTTGTCCTGCGCCGGCGATCGCGCAGCGGCAGATACGCGCCTTTCGACGACGGCATTGCGCTCGACGCGCGCGCCGCAGCAATGGCGCAAGCTGCAAGCCGGCCGTCGCCGTTTGTATTCCAGCAGGATCCGTGCGAGAGCGATGTGCTCATGGGATTGTCACGTTGATGGTGGCGAGAGAAGTAAAGGGACACAGGGAGCGGCATTCACTGCGAGACGGAGCTCGGACAACTACACTATGTCAGCCGCTGGATGACGGCGGCCTTGAGAAGGCCGGCATCGGCGAGCGAGGCGTCCGAGGCCGCGATCGGCTTGGGCGGGAAGGAGGCGCGGAGGACAAAAGTGACGCCAGGGGAGAGGGCCTGGACGTAGGTGTAGAGGTCGTTGACGGTGTGGGTGGTGTTGAACGTCGCCGAGTGACGCTCGCCCGAGGCGAGGCGGATCTGGATCTGGGTGGTGGGCTTGGCATCGTCGACGGCGATGGCGGCCGGCACGGCAGCGCCCGCGGCGGAGGAGGCCGGCGCGGAAGCAACTGGAGTCATGTCGACATTGACGCTGGACGACGAGCCAAGCGTCTGGCCCGAGCCGGCAAAGGCAACGTACTTGGGCTTGGGCGGCTCCTTGTACTCCTCGGGCCCGTGGTCCATGAGCGAGACCGCGACTTCGCGGCCACGGAGCTCTGCGGCCCACTCGGACGGCATGCGACCGGCCTTGAGCTGGTCGAGGAAGGTCTTGTTGGCCGGAAGGTCAAAGGCACGCAGCGGGCCATCGTCGACTGAGAACCCGTTGGCCCACATGTGAACAACCTTCTTGATGGGACCCTGTGGCCCTGCGGCGGCAGCGGCCGACGTGGGCGGCGGCAGCGGAGTCGAGCCGGAGACGGTGTTCCCGAGGCGGAAGCCCGTGCCAGCAAAGGCCGGCGTGGTAGCAGGCTGTGCGGCGGGATCCATGTCCTCCGACCCGCCCTGCTTGGCGCCAAGGGCCTTGAAGGCGTCCATCATGTCGGCCGCCTCGCCACGCTTGGAGCGCTTGTCCGGGCGGCCCTGAACAGCCACCCCGGACCGCTCACCGCCAGCATAGTACTCGTTGGCATCATCCCCATCATCATCACCATCCCCGTTGCCCGCAGCCTGAAGATCAGCAAAGGTCCGGATGCGCGAGCCAGACGATGGCGGCGGGCGGCGAGAGGCGGCAGGCGGCGGAGCCGATGACCGAGCAGAGGCCAACGATGACGATGGGCGGGCAGCAGGAGCAGCAGGAGGAGCAGGAGCAGCAGACGGACCATCGAAGAAGGCAGCGATGGCCGCATCGAGTGCACCATGTGCGGCTGGTGGAAGGGCGGGAAGGGGGAGGGGTGAGTATGCACGGGGGGGGGGGGGGGGGGGGG